CCCTGGGCACGTCCAGCCCTCTCCTGGTGCCCTGGGCATGGTGGGCTGTGACCCAAAGCCCTGCTGGGAAGGGAGGGGGCTGATTTGCACCTTTCCACCCCCAGATTGCAGCCATGGCCGTCTCCATGTACCTGTACTGCCGGCTGGATGAGAAGTGACCCCCCTGAGGCAGGAGGATGAGCTGCCACCCCCCATGCTGGGGTGCACCTGTGATGTGCCATGCTGTCAGGGGGACCCCATCCCTCCCCGGGTCTGATGCTCTCCTGTGCACTGTGATTTGTAGCTGTATTTTGATCTACTGAGCTGGGATCTGTAGAGTTTGTGTATATTTTTGTACTGATATGGCATACAGAGCTTGTACATAGAGATTTGGGGTGGGTTTTGATTGGGAGGGGATGTTGGGAGAAGCTGCTTGGTCTGTTTGGCTGATGCCAGCAGGAGATAAAGCAGCACAGGGGCTGTTCAGGGCTGCTGATCTGGCAATGGCACAGTGATGCCCTTCCCTGGCATGGAGACAGCCCTGGTGGTCCCTGGCTCTGCAGGGGCTGAGGCTGCCCTGTACCCCGTGCCATTTTGTGCCTGAACCCCTCTCCCTGCTGTAAAGAAATGCAAATAAATTTTTCATCTTGGATACAAATTATTTTCTGGAGTTGATCTTGGTGCTGCCTTTAATAAAGACCCTCTGCTGGGTTGGGAGTGCGGGGATGAGGGCTGCCTCACCTCCCTCTCCATTCCCTTCCCTGTCCTTGCAGGCAGCATAGCCCTGCCCACAGCCTCCCTGCCCTTCTTGCCTGTGGCTCCCCACCTGTTCAGGTGCTTGGAAACAGAGCAGCCCTGTGTTTGCACAACAGACAGGGTGCAGGGAGGACACCACCCTTCCATCCCCTGCCCTCTGCAACAGCCACTGCTTGCTCACAGCACCCAGCCAGGGACTCAGCAGCAGCTTGGCTTGAAAGGCAGGGCTGGCTGGGGGGTTCCTGTGTCTCCCATCAGCTTCAGGAACCTGGAATGGGGTGGTGGAGAGGTGGGGGTGGCAGGATCCATCCCTCTGAACATCTCCACCCCGGTGCTGTTCTGCACTGCCTGTGTCTGATGCACCTGCCCTCCCTCTGTGTGTGGGGATGTGGGAGGTGCGGGTGGGCTTGGGGGGTTTCCAGACACCTTTACTACTCCTCCCTCTCTGCTCTTGAGGATACACTCACTCTGCCTCAGTCTCTCCACTGCAAAAGCACAGCCTCCCCAGCCCTGCCTCGCTCTGTGCCTGCTGTGGCACCCCCTTATCAGCTCCTGCCCAGTACGAGGCTGCACCGAGCACTGCCGTGGTCTGGCATCTCCCTGGTGCCATCCAGTTCCTGTCACAGGGACACTGGGACAGGCATGGCACCCACTCCCTGCACTGGGTTGCTTAGCCCTGAGGAAGAGGGCATTTGGCCCTGCCCCATGGCAGGGTGTGGGGGAAGCTGTGAGAAAATAGCCTTGTCTTTCCCGGACAGGTGAATAAGTAGGTCCCAGTTCTACCATAAACTGGTGCCACCTCATGGGTGGTGTCAGGGCTTTTATGCCTCTTATGCCTCTCCAAGGACACAGGAGCTGCCAGGAAGCCCTTCCTGGAGGTGTTGTGGTGCCCAGGAACCAGTTGGCACAGAGCTGGGCACATCTGGATGTGCCCTGCTCTGCCCCTGTTTTTGCAGAGCTGGCTCCTGGCACACACCCTCTCACCATCACCCTGTGGGTTGGAGCAGGCTCAGGGGTGAAACTGCTGCTTCCACCTTTGCAGCTCCTCCTAGCCAGGGGTTTCCATGGGTCAGAACAGGCTGTTTCTGTGGAACTGAGTTTTGTAAATAGCCCTGCAACCACTGGCTTGGTCCCTCCCCTCCACCTGCTGGAAAACTTGCAGGACCAGTTTCTCCTCGAGGATGCGGATGCGATTCCTCCCAATTGCCCTCCGCGGCTCTTGGCTGCCCTGGCAGCCAAAATCAGAGCAGTGAGGGGTAAACTGGACTGGCACAGCCTCCCTGTGCTCCCACTGTGCCCCTGCCCTCCACTTCCACTGCCCAAGCACTGCCATAGCCTTTGGGCTCTCCAAGGTGATCCCATTCCAGCTGCTCCCCCACAAGCCCTGTGGCACATCCCAGCCCACCACCCACCCCACCAGCTCATGTGGGTGCCTCCAGGCACCTCTGCACTTTATATCCCTTAGGCCTGCCCAGTTCTCACAGACTGGCACACTAGGACAAACAGAAACTGTCAGCACAAGTCCAAAAGGTCCCTGAGGGATTATGGTGGCAAACAGAAACTTCATTATTGCCCCTGGATAGATGGCGGGAGATGGCTCAAGAACCTGGCACATTGGGGGTGTGCCAAAGTGGGGGTTCTTCTTTTCCACCTGGGATACAGGGTGAGGGAAGGCAGGAGGGCAAAGTCTCCCTGCAGGGACCTTGGGCAAGCAGCCAGTGCCATGATGGGAGCTGCGCAGAGACGAAAATTCCTGGAGATTTGCAGGGTGCAATCTCCTCCGGCATTACCTGCCCCAGGGCACAGCAGGTGAAAGCCTGCGTGGTGCAGGCGCCTGTGCTGGCAGGGAGTGGGCAGTGATCGGTAATTTAGGAAAGGAACCGCCCCCTCCTTCCTGGGAATTAGCGTCGATGGGAACAGGTACATGAAAAGAAGGAGGAGCTGCACCTCTTTGGGTTTGTGCTAACAAAGGGGGTAATAAGAAGCTAAAGCAAACTCATCCAGCATTAGTTGCCAAGGAGTGCCTGATGTGGGGAATTACCCCTGCCTGCTGTAAAAGCTGGGACAGCATGTTCCCAGACTGGGGAGAAGAGGATATCCTTGAAGGGCTCAGGCTGGTCCTGGGGAAGAAGTGAGGCAATGCACACTTTCCCTGGCACAGACTGCCTGCTGGACTCCCTTCTCCTCAGAGATAAACCGTCCTTATTGCCAGCCTGACCCCAGCAGTGCTTTCTAGGCAGCTCCCTGCCCTAATAATTTAGTGGGGATATCAGAGGAGGCGATGCAAGGGCTGTTCAACAGGCAGCAGGCAGGAGCTGTCACTGAACCGTGTGTTAATCATTAATGCTGCACGGGCAGGGACGGCACAACAACCGTCACAGCAATCCTGGCACCCAGTTGAAGATTAATTTGCCACCTACCTTAAATGTGGGATCAGGAGGTGGCAGCCCTGTGTCTGCAGGCACAGCAGGGAACAGCGACAGGAAAGGGCTGGGTGCAGGGAAAGGACTCCCCCTCAAAGCTGGGAACAAAGGGAGAAGCCAAGCAAAGATCCTTCCTGGGAGCAGTTTTGGCACCTTGGCATTGATGACTTTTTATTCATAAATGCTTTTGGCATTTATGGCTTTTTATGAGGCAGAGGGTGCTGAAAATTTAGGATCAGTTCCCTGGGCTGGGATGCAAGTGGCTGGGCACAGCATCACTGACTCCCTCCCACGGAGGGAAGGAGACAGGGCCAGCACAGAGCATCCTTCTAGTGATGACATCTCTCCATTCAAGAGGACTGGGTGTGTTATCCCAGAGGACTCTGGCTGGAAGGCTCATCCCTCCATCTGAGGGGCACAGAGGAACCCATGTGCCATGGGAAGGGTCAGCCTAGACCCTGTCTCCCACATACCAGCCCGTCATCGGAGCACAGGGACTTCCTACTTCCTCAGATCTCCAACAAAAAACTATGATGCATAAAAATAAACACCACCGGAAACTATGCAAAATTCCCCATCCCCCACAAGCTTTGGAAAGGTCAAGTTTCATGCCAACGCTATTTTGCTTTTGTTTAATTATCAGCCAGCTCCTGGGAGGTGGGGCAGCCCGGACAGGTTCTCCTTTGTAGGGCTGCACAAAGCCAGGGAGGCCGGGCTGGGGGGGCTGCAGGGGCTGGGTGAGAAGTGCAGCTCGGGCAGCACGTGCTGCAGCTGCTGCTGCATGGGGCTGAGCTGGGGCAGCCACTGGGTCGGACTTCAGAGGGGGCAGGTGAGGGGACAGTGGCCTGGGCAGCTCCTGGGACTGCTGGGAATGCTCCAGCACCAGCAGGATGCACCAGGAAGTGAGAGACCCCCAAAAGGTCAGGATGATGAGTGACCCAGCTCATCCAACCAGAACCCCGGGGTGATGAACCCTGGCAACACCAGCACCTGGAGGGCTGAGGCTCTCCATCAGCCTCCACAGGGTCTCCCCTTCAAGGGGTTAACCTGCTGCTGCTGTCATGCCACTGTTTCAGGAGGGGAGGCTCCTATAAAGGCAGCAGTTTGGAGGTGTCAGGGCTGAGCCCAGGTGCTCTGCAGGGCTCTGCTGCCAGCAGGTGGATCCGCCTCTCGCCCACGGTGCCCTGGCACAGAGCCGGTGCTGCAGGGCTTGGCGCGGCAGGCGGCAGATGGGGAGGTGAGAGCCCCGCACCAAGGCCCTGGGACTGAGTAACAAACTGCTGCCAAGGGGTTGCCCTGCCAGAAAGGTCCTGGGGAGGGGCTGTCAGCTCGGGCTGGCTGCAGGGAACAGGCAGGGGAGCAGGAGGCAGCAGGTCCATGCTGGTGGCTGACACTCTCCCATTACCACTTTATTTCAGTCCTGTGGTCTCTGCCCCAGAAATGGGTGCAGCCCCAGCCCTCCAGGATTCCCCACCCCACAGGGGCAGACATTTGGAGTGGTCAAGAGTGTGACAAGGCTGTCGTTCTCAGGACACAGCAGCTGGAGGTGGCAGGAGGAACACGGAACGAGTCACCAGGCAGTTCGTCAGAGTTTCCATCAGTTGATGAAGATAAAAGTGATAAAGCTTGAGGAGGAAACAGCTCGTAAACCTGTGCCAGCCCTGCTGGCACTGCATGGCACCACACAGGGGACCTCTGCTGGCACAGCCCACAGCCACGCCTGTGCAGCCCTGGGCAGAGCAAGCCACCAGAGGAGAGGGGTCTGTCCTTTCCAGGCAGGACCCCCGAGCCAGGACCCCAGCCCTGTACCCTGCACAGGGCCAGCTATGAAACACACGAGGCTCAACAGCTTTGCAATGTTTACTCTTGAAAAAATAATTCCATTCAGAAAGCGTCAAACCCTGGTGATGCCACACACCCAGCCCTGCCACGGTGCCACGCCTGAGCCTTGCTGGGGGACAGGGAGGGATGGAGAACAGCACCCCGTGGGCCTGGCATGGTATGTGGAGAAAGGGGAGCCTAAAGCCCACCAGTCGTGCTGTCACTGAGAGCAGGGAGCCACAGCCCTGTGTGGCAGGGGAGGAGAGGGAACTCATGTTTAGCCATCCCCTATCCCTAGGACCACCTTCCCCAGCCCCAAGAGGAGCTGGGAAGAAGCCAAGCCTGAGCCCTACCTGAGAAGGGCAAGAGGATGCATTTAGTTTCCAAGGGAAGAGAAACTGAGCCTTGGGAACAGAGGTGCCAGGGAAGGGCAATGGAGAGCCATTGGGAAGTTCTGCCAAAGCAGGGCATGGGGAGCAAGCTACTTTTCCTCAGAAAGAAGTAAAATCCCTTTTCCCTCCTCATAAAAGCCCTGCCCTACCCTGAGGGCCAGCACAGGGGCCACCTGCCCACTGGCTGCCAGAGCACAGTCCCATGGAAGGGCAGCACTGGGGAGGGCAGGGCTGAGCCTCAGACCTGAACTGCAGCCTCAAGGCTGCCACTCTGCACCCTTGCTTCTGTTCCCTCCTGCATCCATCCCATCCCATCCTATCCCTGCTGCTGGGGCAGGTCTGCTAGGGACTGTGAGGGTCAGAGTCCCTGCAGTCATGCTAGAGCTGTGCTGCATCCACACTGGGACCATCCTGGCCAAGAGGAGTTCCCTGCTTCACAAGTTTTCATTCCTATTCTGGGCAAGGGAGAAAAGCAGGGAGCAGAGGGTGGAGCCAGGGGGACAAGAGACAAACGTCTCATGACTGCACCTGGCCAGGCTGGGGGCTGCCAGCTCTCCCTGCTGCTTCCTGTGATCCATCCCTTCCCAGGAGCAATAAATAAATAAGTTAGTGTAGTGTAGACCCCAATGCTCAGTTCACAGTGAGAAAATGAAGGGGAAGAGCCCCTGTTACCTCAGGGAAAGGGCAGAGGATGGATCTCCTGCTGCACAGATGAGAAGGAGCTGCACTGAGCAAGAGGACCAGGAATGTCCCCCCAAGGTGCAGGGACATCAGTACCAAATGGCTGGGGATGGGAGGGGGCCCTGGCACCTTCCTAAGGCACGGAACCCCCTCCCTCTCCCTCCGCACGAGGGTGTACCACAGAGGGATGGCCAGGCTGCCCATCCCAGACCAGCTCGTAGCTTCCCTGCCAGCAACTTACCCCAGTAAGGGTGGGAATTCAGGAGAAGAAACTCCCTCTGCCTTCAGCAGAAGCAGGGGGTACCAGGGCAGGGAGGATGGAGAGGCAGGGTACAGTACCACAGGCAAGGACCATGGTGCAGCATCTCCTGCTCCAGATGACCCTGGCCCACCCAGCCCCTGCAGCCAGGGCGTGATGCCTGCTGGCTGCTCCCTTCCCACTCTGCAAGGCACTTTCATCCCCTCTCCCAGCACCCAGGGCTGCTCCCCACACAGAAGGTGGGTGAGGACAGTCTGAGCCAGAGCACACAGCCTGGTCCACTCCACCTACAATCACCTCCAGCTTCCAGAACTGACCGCCCTTGTGCTGGGTGTGGGTGTCCCTCTGTGTCTGCAGCAAGTCCAGCTCCTCTCCAGCATTCCCTTTCCTGTGAGCTGGGCTGCACCAGTGCCTGCAGCCCACGCAGCAAAGCCCGTGTGCAGGAACATGTCCAACCAGCACACAGTCCTCAAGGTGCATCCATCGTGCAGGTAACAGGAGAGATGCTGGAATATCCCCTCTTCAGCACTGTGTTCACCATGGGGCACAAAGCCAGCAGGCAAGAGTTAATAAATAACACCCAGCTGGCAGGCTGCAGCACTCACACCATGCTGCCTTCTCAGGACTTCGGGGCTAAAAGGGAGAGCAGAGGTGTTTTTTGAGACCCCTTCTAGGCTCCAGTTGAGCATCTCCTTCCTCCAGCCTCGCCCAGCCAGGGGGCAAAAGGAGCAGCGTTAGTAGAGTGTCTGTGTTAAAAAAACCAAGTTCCTGGGATTGGGGTGGCATATCTACAGGGAAGGACCCTGTCCTGTGCAAGGGAAAGGGAGACCACAACAGGGGGCTGGAGGGAGCCCAACATCTGCTTTTGCAGCCCAAAACAGGAGGCTGTATCCAGTCACCAGGCTGTGAGAGCTGCTGCCAGCTGTGTCTCTGCACCGTGGGGGTCCCTGTGCTCCCCTGGTCCCCTTTGCTTCCAGCTGCCAGCCTCACGTCTGCTCTGCTGCTGCTGCTGCTGGCACTGCCGCCGCCCCCTCCTCCTTGGCAGGGGGCTCCATGTAGATGGGTGTCACTGATGAGGGCTTCTTGGACCTGCAGGTGAGGGGGCTGGATGGGAGCAGGCACAGCTGATGGGCCCCCCCAGGACCCCAATTTCCAACAGCACTGCCTGGCATCATCTCCTTCCCACATCCTCCTGCCCTGGGAATGTATCCCGTCCCCCTTCCCACCACACTGATTAAGGAGTGAAGGTATCCCCTGAGGACTGGGCTGGGACAGGAGTGCAGGATGGTGTGTGCCTGGCAGGGGACAGTGCCACAAGGATGGGGCACTACTGAGCCCTTTGTGTCCCTGGTACTCACGAGTAGGGGGAGGCAGGGACCCCCACCACAAGGAAATGGTTCTTCTTGCGGAACAGCCGCCACAGCCCCTTGTGGTTCCCGCGGACGTCCAGGTCCCAGATGTGGAGGCACTGGGATGGTGAGGAGGGAGGAAAAGGCATCAGAGCCTGGGGATGGACACCAGGGCCAGGCGTCCCCTGGCATGGGAAGAACCACAATCCCTGTCCTGAGACATAGCTGTACCCCAAGACCAGGGTGGCACAGGGCTGCATCCCTCCAGCCACACCCAGAGCTTCATCACCACCCAGGGACAGCAAGAACCCATTTGGTGAGCTGTGTCATTGCCATGGGAAAACCCAAGAACAACAGCCAGGTGTTTCCCAGTGACACAGAGATCAGTGCAGGGCTGAGGACAGGCCATGTCAGGGCTCTCACCTTGGCAAGTTGAGTCCAGGTGGTGAAATCCGCTTCCTGCTCCATCCTGATGAACATGACGTAGACCTTGCCCTCGGTGTCGGGCACGAAGGAGTCCTCACAGGGGTTCTTGCTGTGGTCCAAGACCTCAGCCTCACTGTGGAAACAGAACAAGGAGTGAGAGGGGACCCCACCTTCTCCCTCTTCCCACTTCAGACATGCAAGATGTGGCTGGGGCCACCAGGGCCACCTCCATCCTTCCTTCTGTTCTGGTTGGTTCACCCAGTGTGTCTTGTGGTCTCTCCACCTTCCAGCAGGCACTCACCCCAGGAGCCGATGAATTTCAGTCTCATAGTTATCCTTCCTCAAGCTGTTGAAGGAGGAGAGAACACAGAGATCAGGACAGAGTCAGATACTTTGTTCCAAATTAAAGACTGCCCCACAGTAACACTAAAGGCAACTGGAACCAATAAATGGAGAGCAGGGACTGCCACACATTCTTGAGATGTGGCAGCAAAACCACAATCCTTGAACACGTCTACCTGGAGCACAGGGTAGCCAAACCCAACCTTGCAAAAACCACTGCCAGGACTGCCCAGCAGAGGCCAGTGTGCTGATGCTGGATGTTATGGCCATTCCAGATGGGAGATGACTCCAGCACAAGGAGACAAGGGTCAGACCAAGCAACTGTTTCATCAAGGTCTCATTGCGACCAGCACTCACCTCTCCACATTTTTAAGCTGGACATTTGGAACAGTGTTGAACTTGTGCTTCTTGAAATAGGCTTCCTGGGAGAAAGAGAGAGGGTAGGGAAGGAACACCAGGTTTGATCATGGACAGCAACACCTGGAGATGACCTCAAGCATCCCCAGTATTGGGGAGGTGTCTGAGTCAGAGCTCAGCAGCAGGACAGGGCCTGGGGGCTGCAGAGGTCACTCACATGGAAGTAGCCGTTCATGTTGAGCCCCACGATGCCGAAGTGGTAGGAGCGCGAGATGTCCGGGATGATGCACTCCCGGCCCTTCCGCTGCTCGGGCATCCGCATCCACATGTCCCAGTCCCAGAGCTGGGGAGGGGAAACTGCAGCTCACACTCAGCTCTGGGGCCACCCAGGAACCTTTCTGGATGCCCACACCAGGTCCAGCCCCTTTGGCCCCAGTGCTGTGGATGGTTATGTGCCTCCTCAAATCACTGTCTGTCCCAAATCCATTCTGCTTGGGCAGAGAGGAGTCCTCCCCAGTATAAGCACAGGGACGGCCCCTCCAGGAGCTGTACAGCCTGGGACTGGCTGAAGATCAGGGCCTGATGGTGGGCAGAGATGGGGGTGTAGATGAAAGGGCCATTCCAAGGTACTCACCTTCTCTGGGGTCGGCCACTTTGGCTCCAGCTCATCCTTGTACAGGCTCTTCCGGAGCACCCACCCCAGGCCTGGCATGGTTTCCACACGGTACAGGAGTGATGGGTCCTCAGCTGTGTGCTCATAGCCCTGCAGTGTTATGGGGAGTGTTCAGCACCCTGAATGCACCTGTCCCCCACCAAATAAAGGGAGGCATCATGCTCCATTGAGTTCCTCATTATGTAAAGAAAGGAACAGCCACTGGGAAGCACATGGCAGCGACAGGAGGGTGATTTTCAGGGACACTTCTGAAGAGTCCAGGGCTGGGGAGACAGACCCACTTAGGGTGACAGTGGGGACACACACCCTGCTTTAAAGGTGGAACCTGGACCCCAGTCTGAACACAGAAACAACACAGGGCAGAGCTGGCCCTGCTCCACCATCCCTCCCTGACCCACCTGGTCATTCCAAGCAGAGATGCAGTACAGGCTCTCATCCTCCTCCAGCAGGTGTATTGACTGGCTCAGGAAGCTGAGGAAAGAGTTGACCCATGTCAAACACCCTTCTACCATGCAAACCAAGGCAAATCCTCCACAAAAAGATGAGCCACCCCTATCTCTGGAACTGCTTATCCCAGTTTTTGGCCTGAGATAACTGATGCTGGTGGGAGACCATGGGAGGAGCACCCAAACAAGCTAAGCTGCATCTCACCATGGGGAAAGGACAGCATTGTCTCCTGCCCATCAGTCTCTTCTACTTAAGAAGGAACAGGAGCCTCATAAGACACTGCTCCTGTCCTCTGGCTATGGGGTAGCTCCACCCATGAGAATGGATCAGCGTCCCCAAAAACCCAACCAGGAAGAGATCCCCAGCCCTGAAGTCACCTTGCACTGATTGCCAGGACAGTGGCCTCAGACTGAAGGCAGAGCTCAGTTATGGCTTTTGCCAGGGGTCTGCTCAGCCTTAGCTAAGAGTGCTACAGCTGGCAGGGGTCTGGCCTCTCCTGAGCATCCAGAGAGCCTCCAGGAAATGGTCCTACACAGGAACTCCCAACTATACCTGAAGAAGTCAACAGAAATGTCAAGATCTTCCTCCAGAACCACAGCAAATTTAGCATCCTGTAGGGCAAGGAGAACATCAGAAGGATGGAGACAAACAGGACAGAGCAGAGACACAAGCAGTGTGCTGTGTCTGTGAGGTTCCTTGCCCTGGAGGACTTATCCCAGCTGCTGTGGGACAGGTATCACAAACACCAGGGGAAGGCTGTGCTACAGCAGCCTCACTCACCGGGAACAGGTTGAAGGTTGCAGTCAGACTGGCTTTGTAGTGCTACAAGAGAAGATAATCATTGTCTGTGTTAGCATCAACCTGGCACAGATCTGGGGCTAAGCCTGTCTCCCTCAAATTCTATTCCAGGTCCCTGGAAATAACTGTCCCAGGATTTGAAAGCTCTCTCACCTGGGAAACTCTGGCGTTTTTAATGCTGATGGGAGTGTGCTGTATTCCTGAGAGGCCAAACAGCTCCACGACATCCATTGGCTCCTGCAATGGAAAAGTGCAAAGATCATCAAATGTGTGGGTCATTCTCCTCTCCCCTGCCAGTGTCAGCTTCCCAGGACAGCAGGAGCATCCCCTGCATGTGGCTGTCTTCTTGGAGATTAGTGAGGCTCAATACAGACCCTGCAGCACAGAACTTGCCTAATCCTTGTGGCCCTTCAGCCCTTCAGTATCATCATGACTTTGTCAGCACTTTTTGCAGACACAAAGTTCTATCCAAGAATATTTGGGAGGTCCCAATTCCAGCCTCCCACAGACAGTACAGAAAGCAAACAGGTATAGCCAGGACCTCCTAACAGCTGCTTCATGGCAAGACCACAATCAAACCAACTTTCTCTCACAGTTGCCAAGAAAAAGACCTTTCTGACCAAGGACAGGGGTCAGAAGTAATCCAAATTTGGGCTGAGGTATCCCTGCCCCAAGAAGGAGCCACCAAGGCCTTCTCCATCCCCTTACTGTGCATCCCACCTCCTGGCCACAAAAGAGAGAAGGAGCTCCCATTGTACCAACCCTTCCCCCTTCCCCAGGTATCCACCATGGCAGCTCGAGCATCCAGGCTGCCCCCTTGTAGCTAAGGGATGCTGCTCCAGTTGCCATGGCAATGGATGCTGCTATCTTTAACTGCTCTGATGTGGTGCAGCAAGAGCCTGCACAAACAAACCAGCTCCCCCAGCCCCACAATGTGGCAGTGGTGAGAGACCTGCAAGGGAACAACTGTCTCCATCCCAAGGCAACCAGGCAGGAAGGACCTCACTGGATGCTGCAAAGATGAGGCCTAGCAAGCTCCTGAGATCTACTAAGATCCCACATGCCTGCCCCAGAGTACATTTCACTGCCAGACAGACATGGCTTTGAGTGGGACTCTCCAGGGCTATACAGGGTTGAGTGAGAGGAAGGCCTTTGCTTATAAAGGGCCAGTTCTCCTCCACCTGGCCCCAGCCTTCATAAACCTCAAGCTTTGAGCCTTGGGAAAACACTGTTTTGTGTCTCTTCACCTCTTACTGAGAATGGAGCTGGACAGGCATGGCTGGACTGGTTTGTTCCTCTCCATGTGAAGCAGCTGGACAGATGGTGTTACACCCAGAGCTTGCTCAAGGGGCTGGCAATGCTCATCAAGTGAGAAAAGGGGATGAGGAGAGCCTAGCATGACCACCACGTGCCATTCCTGCACACCAACTCCCTCCTGACATGGGGATATCAGTCCTGGGCTCTGGGAAACGCCAAGGCAGCTTTATCCACACCATGGCTTGGCTAACTTTGGCAGGCTTTGTGTAGGAGCAGGTGAGGAGCAGCGTGACGCACAGCAGGAGGAAGGTGACAAAGCTCTCAACCTGCCACCCTCCAAGGACTGGGCCAGCACTGGGCTGGGGGAGCATGGAGCTGGCCACAGGGATCTCTGGCAATGCTCTCACCTCGTAGTATCCATCAATGAAGACTGTGATCATCTGTGGATTGACACCCTGAGCCGACAGCAAGGAACGCAGCATCCTGTGGAGACAGAGGGGCCTGAGCACAGCACAGCCCCAGGGGGCACAGGCCCTCAGCAGAGGGTGTGGATCCCTTGGGATGGGCAAAGTGTGCACCATTAGGGAACAGGACCCATCTATGCCTTCCCTTCCCCTCCCCCAGGATCTGCCCTTGGTGCTCACATAATCCCAGGAGGAGGCTGGATCTGCCAATAGGAGAGGGAAGGGCCGAGGCCATGCCTGGTCTTGTGCAGGGGGCAGAGGAGCTGTGCCCTCTGGGAGTGCTTACCTGTACAGGTAGTTGGGGCGGTTCCCTGCAATCACAGCTACTGGCACATCAAAGACTTTATTGTCTTTCAGCTGGAAGAGAGCAATGTGTGTGAGTGGGGGTGGGAGAGGCCATGCAAACCAAAATGATTGTACGCCACTGAGAGCAGGATCCAAGGGGTAGGGACCCACTGTTAAGACAGCAGAGCTGCACAGTCCTTCCTCTCGGCTCAGGGCCACACCAACCAACCAGGATACCCTCAGCACAACTGGAAACCCTACCAGCTTCCCTTCTTCACCTCACCTCTGACCCAGCTCCAAAATCCCAGTTTGCATCCACTCAAAGACCTGTGTCTGAACCCTTCAGCCCCATGGACAGCCCAAAAGTCACAACAGCTGCTCTGTGTGTAGATATTCAGGCTCTGCTGCTTACACTGATATCCCTAGAATAGGGTAACTATTCCTGGCAACTCAGAACAAAGGAATTTCCCTGCCCCAGCATGACCTGCCCCCAGGTACTCACCCCACCTTTGCAGAGGCTAAGGGCTTGCCCAGGGGCAGTTTGCATCACTCAGCTAGTGCTTTAAGGCCAGGGCTCTACATCAGCTGCAAAACACACCTGGTCCAGCCCAGCCCTCCCTCCTGGAGCCCTCCTGCACTCACAGGGTCAGGGTTGAACTCGATGGGTGTGGGGTCCTTGCAGCTGCAGACGCTGCCGTACCCTTCCACTTTGCTGCAGAACCGCTTGCGGCGCCGGTTCAGCTCCGTGTCGGGCCAGTGGCACTCAGCATCTAGGGGCACCAAGGAGGACAGAGAGACCTGTCACCCTCACACACTCACCCTGGCTGCTCCAGGCTGGGAGACCACACACACGGCTCTCCCTGGGCTCAGCCAGCAAGCCAGTCCCTGGCAGTGAGCAAGCAACGCTTTGGATACCAGACACAACCCCAGGAGCCATTCAGAGCCCAACCCCATCTCTGGCCTCTCTGGAGCAGCAGGAGTTGTTCAAGGCCAACAGCCAGAAAACTGACCAGACCAGGTCTGGCTTGGAGAGGTGACAACTGGCCATGGTCCCTCTTCTCCATCCTCACCTTTCTCAACAACCATGCCTGGAATTGCCATGGAAATAGGAAGAAAGGGAGCCAAGCCCATTTTAAAAGTTACCATCATCACCTCAAAAAGCCTTAAATGGTTTTGACTTAAAACCAGGCAGCAGGGAGACGTCTCCCAGAGACACCACAGAGCAGACTGCACTTCTTACCTTCCACAGATGTCAAGTGAACTTCTGTCTTCAGCAGAACGGGGTCACCCCACGTTGAGAGGGCAGGTGACTTGGCGTGCTTCTCCCCATACACTTCTCCTGGAGCAGGAACACAGGGTCAGGACTGCCTGGAAGGGCCCAACCCCACTCTGTCATGGCATAACAAGGGGCTCTCAGCCTGGGGGACAGCTTGGCACCTTTTCCCATTGGCCTCTGGCAAACTGCTAAAGGAACACGCTCTGCCTCCATACCCCCAGGTATACCATCCTCATCCCCAGGAATGGAGCTGCCACTCTCTGGGACTTGTTCCCTGCTCATAGAGCTCATTGGGGATGGGCTGGGTTTCTCTTCACCTGGCTTCTCCCAAAAAAAGGAGCCACAAAGCCTCTCCCAGCCTGTGCAAGACTCACCCCCCTTCTTGCCCACAAATGTCCACATGTCTCTCCAGCTCAGGAAAGGTGCAACTTGGCTCCCCAGGCTTTTCAGGACATTCTTGGCTGTCTCCTTGAGGTGAAAGGAGCCTTCATCCTGGAACAAAACACAACCCTGCAGCTGAGGTCTGGCTCCTGACAGGGAAGTCTCCCATCAATACCAAAGGGGCACAGGGCCCACTCCTACCCTTGAACCAGTTGAGCCAGAAACCTTCAGGGTCTCTGTGCCACTAAAGCTGTCAGTGGCTTCATAATGGCCCACAGGCTGGTCAGAGGAATCATGAACACCTGTTTCCTTTTCCTTGAGACCAAATTGTTCTCAAGCAGGGCCATGTGTTAAGCAACACTTCACACAGCTAAACACAAAAACCTTGAAGCAGCACAGTGTTGCTTGCACAGCAGCTCAGACCTAGCACAGTCCACAGGGCCCCTGTAAAGCCTGGAACTGGGAGCCAGAAGGATCCCACCACACCCTTATATTTCCCCACATCCATTCTCCACCTAACCCCTTGCCTATTGCTGTGGGCTCTGACACATCTGCTTTTTGCTCTCCTGCTTTGCTGGGCACAGCTGTACCTGCAGCCAGAAGGGAGAGCAAGAGGACAAGGGAGGTGATCCAGACAGGGAGTCACAGCTCCATAGGGATGTGACATTTAGTCCTGGGAATGCTTGATGACATTTAGGAGGCTACTGCCCAAATGAGCTTCAGGACATCCTGACTCCAGATGACTTTTTTTTTTTTATATTAGGGTCACACCTACCTTAATGGTGAAGATTAAGATCCTGCCCCGGGCTACCATGTTGAGGAAAAGTACCATGGCTTCATCTTCATGGGGGGAATAGGTGTCAAAGACCCTCTTGGCCATCACATGTCCCTGTTGGTATTCATACGTCAGATGGAGCTTAAATACTACATGGTATGGACACACAGAATTATGGAGATCATATGGAGGCCCTGGAAGCCTGAGCAACACAGGGAGTGGCTTTTCTGGAATGCCAGGGAGTCAGTCCCAGAGTTGTCCCCAGGCAAGCTCAGCCCTCAGGCCTTCCTGCACAGAGATCCACGGGCAGCATCCCCAGCCCCACAACTCCTGCCCTGCCCGCTGCCCAAGGACAGCACTCTCTGGATGCCTGTGCCATGCTCTGCAAGCTGCACACAAAAAGCATTCAGGGCCTTCCCTCCCTCCTGGCTGCCCCTGGCCTCAGGCAGCCAACAGTTCAAGACAAGGACAAACAGTTCAAGAGCAAGGACAAACTGCCCAGTTTAGAAAGACACAGGGATGTTTTACCGTGGCCTGATTTAAGACGATGACATGGATCCCTCTTCCCTGCTCCCGAGCCTCATCTTCCAGGACCTGCAAGTGGATAAATGATGAGAATCATATGCCAAGACCTCTGCTTATTCCCTGCCCATTCTGTGCAGCAGAGCCCCCAGACAAGAGGCAAATCTCTTTGGCTTTGCTGATGGCAGTGATGGGTGCCAGAGCAGAAGTCCTGGAAGCAGAACTTCTTGCCAGTCCTTGAAGTGCTCTCACCACTGCTGTTTGTGAATTTATCCATTCAGCTCTGCCCACAGGACAGCCAGCACCTGCCACTCACCGTTGTCCCATCCACAGCCACATAGACCTTTGACCTGCTGGAGTACACCTCGACATCCAGGACCTTCTTGTTGTTGACAGGGTGCCTGGGGACCTCCACATTCAGCATCTCATCATCTACAGCAGAGAAATTCCCAGTTTCAACCAGTCAAGGCACCTCCAGCTCGCCCCTGCTCCATGCTAGCCCATCCAGAAGGGTGTGCCCAGCAGGCACCCCAGCCCAAGGAGTCATGGGTGGGAATTTACAGGGATGGTAGGTAAGGGGAAATACCAAATGACAACAGCTCTGACCCCACAGAGATCTCTGCAACCAAATGTGCTAAAGCCTTCAGTAAACAGACTGAATACTGCTCCAGGAAGGGAGCAGTATTTTCTATTAATTTTTGTTTAACCCACATGTACAGACTTGTTTTTCATGATGTGGCTGGTCACAAGTTAGCCCTGACTACTTAAAGAAACCCTTGGTTTCCTTGCTTTCAAAGCACAGAAGGATGCTGCCCCTCACCATAGTCCTGTGCAGACTCCTCTTCCTCCTCATAAGCAGCTCTCCTGGTGTCCAAGATCAGCTTGATGTTCACAATTACAGTCACAAGCAGGAAGAGGACAGCACCTGTCTGCAATGCAGGATGTTTTGTATTAGAAATTTGTAAGTAACAACCCCAAAACCAGCCTGCCTTGGCATGGGCTGCAGGGCATCCCAAGGAGATCCTGCATGGGATCACAAGCATCTGACATTTCCCCTGATTTTTTCTGAGAAAGAAATACAGGTGACTGAGTTTCATGATGAAATGCATTCATCACCTGGAGAGCACTGACTTCTTGATATGTGAGAATTAACCCACTTCCATCCAACGTAATCCTGCTTCCAGATCTGTGAGCAGATTCCTGCTAAATTATTGCATCAAGCTTGAGGGTCCCTGCAAGCAAAGAGTTTGGTAATTCAGAGTTACAGCTCCCAGGGTAACCTTAACTTCTGCCTCTGCTGCAGCATCACTACTCTCACCCATCCCTCTGGAACCAGAGGAGGCACTCAGGGTGTTCAGAGGAGAAGAGACACTGTGCCGCTGAATCAAACAAAGGGAAGAAGCTGAGGTCTGATTTCAGGAAACTGCACTGTACCACAGGCTGCACAGAGCAGCCTGCAGCCTTGCTGTCTGCAGCAAACTTCAACTGCAACCCTTGTGGATGCTGACACAGAGGGCTTGGGAAGGTTCAGGGGCTGTGGAACAGACCCTTGATTGTCTGAGGTCATTAATGGGGCTGGGATCACACACTGGCCTGCCCTTGGTGAGAGGCACTAAAAGGATTTCTGCCCTATCTGTCCAGCCACTGCCTCAGAGCTCTGTGCCGCTGCTATCCCTGCCAAGCAGGTCCAAGGAGTAACCGAGGAAAATGGAAAACCAGCAATAAGACAACACCACGGTATAAATGTCACTATGGCATTTTGGCTTGTTAATTTGCTGTTGACTCAGGACTATGAGCACCTTTTGGGATCTGTGCACAGAAAACTTTTAATTAAGCACGAACACAGCCATGGGCTCATGGAGAGGCAGCAAGGCCACCTCACCAACCTGCCCAGACCTTCTGCCCTGATCAGCATGAGGGAACAGCCCCGGTGACCAGAATGAATAAGGCAACAAGGAATAAGAATTAGGCAAGACCAGCAGCCAGGTCAAGCAGAGCTGGCTTGGTCAAAGCTAACTAATGAATGCTTGGCTGCTGTAGACCTGGCTAATCCATACCTGCAGCTCTGGTTGAGCCAAATATTTATAATGTCTATTGTAAGCCAAATGTTCATCTGTGTTTTAAGCAGTGCCACAAAGTACAGAGATGTGTGCAGGCTCTAGCCCGTTGCCCCAGCATGGTGAGCAATGCCTGTCTGAATGACCAGACCCATTCCCAAGCCTTCAACACCTTATCAGACACAGAACTGAACAGTCTTCTTGCCCAGGTAGCCCTCATGACCCTTTGTCCTCCCAGACATGTGCAAAACCCTCCCCTGCTCCCTCCCACAGCAACCAAGTGCCAGATCTCATGAGCTCCTCTCAGGAAAGGCCTCTTTTCAGTGCTTTGCTGCCATGGGGCCAAACCTTCCTGTCCTTACAGCCCCAGACTCCCCCCAGGACGCCGTCTCCACCAAGGATTAGCTGTTTTACAGCACAAGCAACCAAGCCTGAGGCTTTCCCAGACACCAGCTGCCTCTGGGGCATGAGATCCTATTACCAAGCCCTATTTTCTCTGTCCACCTGTTGTGCCTTATACCAGGCTTGGTTTGCAAATCAAACTGCTAAAGGCTGAGCCCTGCAGCAATCAGCATGGGTCCAGAGCCAGGTTTCTAGCTGAGAGCTTCCCTAGGCCACCTGGATAATTGTATCTCCTCCCACAGCCAGGTCTAAACAGGTCTGCTGGCTGCTGCAAGGAGCTGCTACACATGGGAGACCCTTCCACACACAGGCACTTGGGGGCAGCTTCTTGGGGAACAAGTTATGCTTCCTCAGCATGTCAGGTCACCCAGACTGCCAACAGACGCACTTCCACCCATGCAGCTGCTCCATAAACTTGTAAATCCTGTAGATTATCCCTCCTAATCTGCCGCAGGGCCGCGGGTGACTCACCTGGCACAGCTTCCGCAGCGCACGCTGGTTCATCAGCTTGTACTTCCAGGCAAGGTACCAGCTCCGCTTCTTGTGGGGCTTCACGGGCGGGTTGGGCTTCCACTCCTCCATAGTCCCAGGGCTGGCAGGGGCAGCCGTGAGGGGCGGGGGTCAGGATGTGTGCTGCTCTCCTCTCATGTCCATCGGGGCTCCCTGCCGGGGGGAGAGAGCTGCCCTCAAACCCTCTCCCCAGCAAAGACAGAGCCGGGCACAGGCAGTGGCCGTGGAGTGCACTGATGTGCTATGAGCAAAAGCCCTTTGGAGCAGAGCTCCTGCTGGGAGCAGTGCAGGAGGCCAGGCTTTGCTGCAGGGTGAGGGCAAGCCCCTGAACTCATCGGCCAGGGGCTGCCTCTGCTCCAGGCCAAACCCTCAGCGAGGCTGCTGCAGTGCCACGGGCCCTCTCCCACGCTCTGGGGAAGAAAAGCAGCCCAAAGCCACAAGCAGACAACAGATCCATCAGTTGTTATGGAATGGGCCTCACTGGCCGTGTGTGCCAGGGGTCCCTGCTAGAGAGACACCCTGCCCACCAACAACCCATGCCCGCTATGGGGGTGCAGCCAGCCAGACACGGGGAGCAGCACGGGCCCAGCGTCCTGCGGGAGCTTCCAGCACCCCGGGCACAGGA